TGAAGAATGTGTTATTCTTATCCAGCCTCTGTCACCCCCAGGCTGGAGTGCAGTGGTGCCATCTCAGCTCACTGCAACATCTTTCTCCTGGTTCCAGCGACTCTTGTGCCTCAGTCTCCCGAGTAGCTGGAATTACAGGCATGCACCACCAAGCCTGGCTAATTTTTTATTTTTTATTTTTATTAGAGATGGGGTTTCACCATGTTGGCCAGGCTGGTCTCGAACTCCTGACCTCAGGTGATCCGCCCACCTTGGCCTCCCAAAGTGCTGGGATTACAGGCGTGAGCCACTGCGCCCAGCCTAAGAGCTATACAAAATTTAAAAGTGACATTGCCATAGATGAAGGCATTACAGGGTTCCTCCTTTAGTAGATGCCTGGTGAGGGAAGATGCGCTCGGTGCTGTTGTTTTCCAGGTTGAGGGAAGTGATGAAGCGGCACAGTTTCCACTGTCGGATATAAGCACCAAGCCCTTCTCTTGCAGCTCTTCAAGTCCTCCGTGTACAGACGGTACAACGACTTCGTGGTCTTCCAGGAGATGCTCCTGCACAAGTTCCCCTACCGGATGGTGCCTGCCCTGCCACCCAAGAGGATGCTGGGAGGTAAAGCTAGGCGTGCTGCCCATTGGGGGCGGGGGGAGCCAGCCCATCTCCTGGACCCAGTGGTCCTGGCTCGGGGATCTACCCCCTCTTTTACAGGGTAGGTGCAGAGCTGTGGGGAAGCTCAAGCCTTTTGCCATCTGGGGCAGAGCTATGGCTTGAGCCCAGCCTTGGTGTAGGCCGGGAGACTGGCACCTGGCACCCTGGGCCCACGGGAGCCTCTGGCTGGATGACTGACACGTGGGGAAGGCATTGCTGTGCAGTTGTGAAACAGAACCCCAGTTCCCCTCTCCAGAGCACAGTGAGGAGGGCTCCCCAGAGCTGCTGAGAGGGCTGCCAGGAACACTATGCGCTCACCTGGCTGGCATTGCTCTGTCTGCATCTGCAAAGCCATCGGAGCAGCCTGAGCCATGGGCACCAGGAGAGCGCTCGGTGACCTCACGGAAGAGAACAGACATTTTGCAAGCAGGAAGTCTAAGCTGCGTCTTGCAGGAGAGAAAAAACAGCACATGGCTGCCACACCTTTACCTCCCTTCCTGAAGATGGCCTTGGGCCAGTGGGAGATGGTAGCCGACCTTGGAACCCCCCCCCAGGGCCTGCGTCCCCCGGGGCTGCAGAGCAAAGGCATGGCGGCTGCCAGCTCCAATCTCACTGTTGGTCACTCCATCAGCCCTTTCCTCAAATTCTGAATAAAACATGCTGGGGAGGCGAGTGCTTAGAGCGGATCAGCTGGCTTTTTGCCATTCCCAACCCTTCCACAGTCACCGTGTCCTGGATGGGATGCAATGTGGGAGCTAACACAGTGGCCAGTTCCCTGCATCTGAAATCGTGCAATGGTGCATAAATGCTTCTGCCTCTCGTGGGTCACTGAGCAAGCAAGCAGCCCAGAGCCTGATGATGTGATTTTCTCCCTGCCCCATGTGAACATCACAGAGCAGATCATTCTTACCACGCTGAGGGGCACATGGGGTGCTCAGGGAAGGAGAGAACGGAGGATGCGACAGGGATGCGTGATGCTGGCCCAAACCTGGGCATCCGACTCCATGAACGCTGGCCGGTGTTCCCTAGAAACTGCACGCACGTACTGCGCCACTCGTGCTGGCGTTTATGGAAGTGCAGCCTAATCGGAAGGAGCCTGCCACTCTTAAGCCAGGAGGCGGGCCTCAGCAACTGTATTATTTGTTTTCTTTCTTTTCTTTTGTTTTTTTAGAGATGGGGTTTTGCTGTGCTGGCCAGGCTGCTGTATAACTTTGTGACCTCAAGTGATCCACCCATGTTGGCCTCCCAAGATGCTTGGCTTACAGGAATGAGCCACCGCACCTGGCTGTATTTCTTAATAACTTAAAAATAGTGTTTAAAGGCCGGGAGCCAGTGGCTCACACCTGTAATCCCAGCACTTTGGGATGCTGAGACAGGCGGATCACCTGAGGTCAGGAGTTCGAGACCAGCCTGACCAACATGACGAAATGCCGTCTCTACTAAAACTACAAAAATTAGCTGGGCGTGGTGGTGCATGCCTGTAATCCCAGCTACTTGGGAGGCTGAGGCAGAAGAATCGCTTGAACCTAGGAGGTGGAGGTTACAGTGAGCTGAGATCGTGTCACTATGCTCCAGCCTGCCTGACGAGCGAGACTCCGTCTCAAAAAAGAAAACAAAAGGTATTTAAGTAACATTTTTGTTTGTGTTCAGATTGAAATGTCTTAAATGCATCAATATGTGCTTTTACTTTCTTTCCCTTTGGAGTGAAAATATTTAACCTGAATGGAAGCAATTGGTAATTGGATCCATTGCAGAGTCAGCTATAAGCACAGTGAATAGAAACTCTCGGCCGGGCATGGTGGCTCATGCCTGTAATCTCAGCACTTTGGGAGGCTGAGGCAGGATTACCTGAGGTCAGGAGTTTGAGACTAGCCTGACCAACATTGTGAAACCCCATCTCTACTAAAAATACAAAGATTAGCCATGTGTGGTGGCACCTGCCTGTAATCCCAGCTACTCCAGACGCTGAGACAGGAGAATAGATTGAACCCGGGAGGCAAAGGTTGCAGTGAGCTGAGATCGCGCCGCAGCACTCCAGCCTGGACGATAAGAGTGAAACCCTGTCTCCAAAACAAAAAAAAAGGACATCAAAAAGTCCAAGATGGTGCCAGCAAGAAAAAATTAGAATTAAAAAAGAAAAGAAAACCTGTGTTGCCTTAGTGTTGGAGCCAGCAAAACCCATTTTTTCCCTGGAGAGAAGTGCCAGGAAGGGATTATGGAAGGTGTCTTTAATGGAGATGATCAGAGTGACCACTCACTTGGTTCACAGGACTCTTGATGGAAAGGAGCAGATCTGTGGTTTTCCCTGGCAACTCCTGGACCCAAGTGTGTGTGGCTGGAGGCAGGGTTTGGGGGTGGGGCTCTTGCTCTGGGCAGCTTTTGCAGGTCCGTTTTCTGGGTAGCACTGGGGGCTCAGTCAGTGCCCTCCACTAGTCGCTGGTTGCTCCGCCGCCTCTAGGGAGAGCTTTGAGAACTCTCTGAGAGCGGAAGATGGGGGCTGGCACCCTGGACTCTGTCCAGTGACCCTGTGCACTCCTCCAGCTGACAGGGAGTTCATCGAGGCCAGGAGGAGAGCTCTGAAGCGCTTTGTCAACCTGGTGGCACGGCATCCCGTGTTCTCCAAAGATGTGCTTCTCAAGCTCTTCCTGTCCTTCAGTGGCTCGGTGAGTGTGTCCGCCCTGTGTGTGTCCCTGTTCCAGGAGCCCCTGAGCCTCCGGAGCTGCTCTTTCCTCTCTCAGGTTTGGTTTCTTATCCTCCTGGTCCTTTGTTTGGATGCCCAGCAGGAATGACATTGACAGCACTTCTTTCCTGTCCAGATAACAGCCTGAATGTGATTTTCAGAGGCGTCCCTGGTGTTGAGTTGTCAGGATTTTGTAAATCTACGTGGAGATCCTGGGTCTCTGCCGTCACTTTGAGGTTTTAGGCTGGTTGGTTTGGAGGGTTTAGGGAGATGAGAGACTCCAGATGGGAAGAAGTGTTCACTTAAAACAAAGCCCTGTCCGACTGTGAAGCACTGAGAAAGCACGCTGAGCCTCCTTGTCAGAGCCACAGCACAGACCTGCACCTGGGAATCAACTTCTTGTACATGTGCTCAGCCAGACATCCGAGCGGGGTTCCTTCCTCCCAGCGGCTGCCTCACAGCCTTAGTGAGTGTCAAGAAGCTATAGCACCAGGTGTGGTGGCTCACGCCAGTAATCCCAGCCCTTTAGGAGGCTGAGGTGGATGCATTACAAGGTCAGGAGTTCAAGACCAGCCTGGCCAAGATGGTGAAACCCTGTTTCTTTTTTTTTTTTTNTCTGAGAGCGGAAGATGGGGGCTGGCACCCTGGACTCTGTCCAGTGACCCTGTGCACTCCTCCAGCTGACAGGGAGTTCATCGAGGCCAGGAGGAGAGCTCTGAAGCGCTTTGTCAATCTGGTGGCACGGCACCCCCTGTTCTCCGAGGATGTGGTTCTCAAGCTCTTCCTGTCCTTCAGCGGCTCGGTGAGTGTGTCCGCCCTGCGTGTGTCCCTGTCCCAGGAGCCCCTGAGCCTCCGGAGCTGCTCTTTCCTCTCTCAGGTTTGGTTTCTTATCCTCCTGGTCCCTTGCTTGGACGCCCAGCAGGAATGACATTGACAACACTTCTTTCCTGTCCAGATAACAGCCTGAATGTGATTTTCAGAGGTGTCCCTGGTGTTGACTTGGCAGGATTTTGTAAATCTACGTGGAGATCTTGGGTCTCTGAGGTCACTTTGAGGTTTTAGGCTGGATAGTTTGGAGGGTTTAGGGAGATGAGAGACTCCAGATAGGAAGAAATGTTCACTTAAAACGAGGCCCTGTCTGACTGTGGAGCACGGAGAAAGCACGCTGAGCCTCCTTGTCAGAGCCACAGACCTGCACCTGGGAATCAACTTCTTGTACATGTGCTCAGCCAGACATCCGAGTGGGGCTCCTTCCTCCCAGCGGCTGCTGCACAGCCTTAGTGAGTGTCAAGAAGCTATAGCACCAGGTGTGGTGACTTACACCTGTAATCCCAGCACTTTAGGAGGCTGAGGTGGGTAGATCACAAGGTCAGGAGTCCAAGACCAGCCTGGCCAAGATGGTGAAACCCTGTTTCTACTAAAAATAAAAAAATTAGCCAGGTGTGGCAGCGGGCACCTATAATCCCAGCTACTCGGGAGGCTGAGACAGAGAATTGCTGGAACTTGGGGGCAGAGGTTGCAGTGAGCTGAGATCATGCCATTGCACTCCAGCCTGGGTGACAGAGCGAAATTCCATTGAAAAAAAAAAAAGAAGAAGCTATAGCTCGGCTGGGCACACGGTGACCCATGCCTCTAATCCCAATGCTTTGAGAGGCTGAGGTGGGAAAGTCCCTTGGGCCCAGGTGTTTGAAACCAGGCTGAGCAACATAGGGAGACTTCTCTACTAAAACAAAACAGAACTGAGGCCAGACATGGTGGTGCACACCTTTAATCCCAGTCACTCGGGAGGCTGAGGCTTGAGAATCGCTTGAACCCAGGAGGTCGAGCTTGTAGTGAGCTGTGATTGTGCCACTGCACTCCAGCCTGGGTGACAGAGTGAGACCCTGTCTCAAAGGAAAACCCTGCAGCAAAGCTCCTGCTTCCTGAGGAGGAGGCAGCTGCTAGCCCTCCAGGAAAGTTGGGTTCTGTGCTCCCTCTCCGCCTGTGCCTAGAGGACCCTTTCCCTGTACGGGGAGGGGTGGGGGCTCCACTGGAGTAGAGGTTTCCAGACTCTCTTCTATTTTAGGGAAACCGCTTCTTGAATGGGAACCTGAGGGCCTCTGCCCTCCTCCCTGCTGCAGGAAGACACCACCACTCCCAGGCTGACTTCACACAAGTCTTGGTTCCTTTTGTCTTCATTTCCCTTGAGGCAGAGGGGCATTGGCCCTGTAGGAGGGTGGCCTGTCCCTGGGATGCCCCTGGGGATACCTGGAGCAGGCAGTAGGATCTTTTGAGCCCTGGGGGTGGAATGGTTCCTTTGGAAGGAGATCTGGATTGTCAGAGAGGAATGGGGCAGGACCTGGGCGGGGCTGAGGCTCTTGTGGTGGGTCACAGGTGGGCAACCCTCCTGTTCTAGGGGCAGGACACCTCCTATGGCCTTTGCATAGATAGCATTATCTGTCACTTCCTGGCTTCAGTTTTCTTGCTTCCTTTCTGTTTTTAGAGATGGGGTCTCATTATGTTACCCAGGCTAGCAATCCTTCCCGCCTCAGGCTCTGAGTAGCTGGGACTACACTGACCTCAGGTGTTTTGTTTTGTTTTGTTTTGTTTTGTTTTGTTTTGTTTGTGAAATGAGAGTCGAGTCAGATGACGTTTAAGGCATCTCTGAAATTCTAGAATTCCTGGATGCGTGAACAGCTGCATATTAGGGTTTCCCTTTGTATCTCCTGGGTGCCTCCTGATTTGAAGGCTCGTTCAGGTGAGAGGGCTCCAGTGCCGGGGGTTGGGCCTGTCCTTGCTCTGCCCAGCAGCTCCCTGGGCTCTGGTGTTCCTGGTGCGATGGATGCATTCCTAGGAAGGAAGACACTTGTGCCCTGTTCTATTGCGCTTTTGAAATCTACCAGGGTCTCAGGCGTCTGCCATCTGTCGCTGGGGCTGCTGCTGCCCCCAGTTTGTGGATACAGGGGCCGTGCCTCTGGAGAGTCGCCCCCAGGTCTGCGGATGGAGGACCGTGCCTTTGGAGAGAAGCTGCAGGTTTGTGTTGCTCCTGCAACCAAGCCAGGCCGTCTTGTTCAGTGAGAAAGACATCTAAGGGAGGGTCAAGAGACTGCGGCATCCTGAAGTCAAAGCCACCACACATAAATGTATTTCTCCTAAGGAAGGATGACACCCTGCTCCACGGTGACCTTCGCCTCACATGAGCTTTCTCGTTGCTAGTAGAAGAGGGTGAAGTTTTCTCTTTTACTTTAGCAGGATGTGCAGAACAAGTTAAGGGAATCAGCACAGTGTGTTGGGGATGAATTCATGAATTGTCAGCTGGCTACCAGGGCCAAGGTATTTTTCTAACTTGGATGAGTACTTCCCTTTTTCATCAGTGAAACAATAGTTTTAACCCTTCATATTGATTTTGCCTCCTCTGTGTGGCAGGGATTGTGCTGCGATCCCTTGCATGGTTTTCTCATTGTTTTTTTTTAGACAAGGTATTGCTTTGTTGCTGAGGCTGGAGTGTAGTGGCACGATTTCGGCTCACTGCACCTCTGCCTCCTGGATTCAAGCGATTCTCATGCCTCAGCCTCCT